TCCTTCAGCAAGTGACTCTTGAGGAATTCCTTTCTCAAGTACGTAGGTACTTTCTCCCTCGACTTCTTCTGACTGTGGATGTGGAACCACATTCAAGCACCGATCCTCTACGGTCAACTCTCCAGTCGACCTAGTATGTCCATGTTGCCATTTGAAGGCAACAGATTTCTTTTGTCTAAGATGCCGCCCGCTTGGCATGCATCCATGTCCCGGTACACTCGATTTATTCGAGTGGTGGACCTTCGGCGCCGCCTGTAATTCTGTACAGCCGCCGGGAGCTTGCTCCACAGTGTAGTGATCAACTACACTGTGATCTTGTGCAGTTGTGCTAACGACCGAACCGCAAGTGAGGCGATCCCACTCAATCGCAGAACATCCACACGCTTGTGGACGCTCCAAGATGTTCATCAGATGGCCATCTGATAAACAAGTGGCAGGCATCTTCACGTATCGATGCTGCCAACTCACTCTTGGCTCGTACCTTCTGAGCCAAGGTAATCCCAAGATGACATCGAATTTGTCATCCAGATCCATTACGATGAAGTCATCATCGTACTGTTCGCCCTCTAACGTGTAGCGGATTCCTACTACACGTTTCTCAACGGTAATAGATGCGCCTGTTGCAAGGCGCACCGTCATCCTCATGAGGGGGCGTCGCGCTCAACGAACTTGAGCCTACGACCCTCTAGTGACTGTCGACGATCAAAGTTGTTCGACGCCCCACAGTCTACTAGGGCACGAAGCGACAAATCATTTGTCTCTTCCAACTTCAAGGTGATGAGCGAAACGTCATCACCAGGTGCCGAGACACACAATGATTGTGTATCTATAGCAACTTTCGTCAAGAGATTTGCAAATTCTCTTGAGGTTGCTGGATCAGTAGGGCGCTCCGCCCCTTCTGACCCCGTCCATTTTTTTGATGGTGAGCTTCTCTGTTGCGGCTTCGCAACAGCGCTGGACCCACGCCCATTGACCTTTCTGGCAAATGGACGACCATTTCGCTCAGTACTGTTTGGTACTGGGCGTGGAGCACTACACTCATATGCGTAGTGCCCTAACTTCTGACAGCGATTGCACCTCTGCATTCGCTTGTTGTTTGAAGAGCGAGGTCTCTCGCTCTCAACATAGCAGAGTTCCATTGGTTCTGGACCTCCGATCTCTTGTCGTCTCGGTGGACAATAAGAGTTTAAGCTAGCATGAGCCTGTCTCATGCTAAAGTCTTCCTGTTCCGCGGCTGATATCGCATCTTCCAGCGTATTCAGCTCAAAGCGGAACAGGTGGCTCCTGACGGGCCCTTCTGCGAGCCCTTGCATGAGCACCGTAATCAACGTGTGTTCATGAAATGGGTTAGCAGTTAAACTACTCGCGAGGAGTCGTATATGTTGAGTGTAAGCGTGCAAATCACGCTTACCCTGCTTGAGTTTCAGGAGCTCTGAACGAGAGCTGAACTCAGCGCGTGGCGGCTCAAACGTTTGTCTGAGCCGGGACTTGAAGTCATCTAGCGTCCTAAACACATGTGGGTCGCTACTCTCGAGTCCCAGAGACCAAGTTTTGGCACGAACTGCCAAGTAGGTTTGAGCAAATGTGAGTTTCATTTGCTCATCTTCGACGCGACGAGCCCTTAAGGCTCTGTCGAATTCGACAAACCACAGTAACAGGGAGTCTTACGGGACTCCACTGTACTTGGATATGTCAACTTTCATGACCTCGGGATGACGCGCATGTGCCGTTCCGCCCACAGCAGCATGAAATTGCTGCTGTCTCAACAGCTCTGTCTGTTGAGCACCGAGTTCTCTCAACTGCTCGGCCTGTTGAGAGCCTTGCTGGTGAAGCAAGGCTACTTTCTCCCTTTCGGCGACAAGTTCATTTTGAATGAACTTGGCTATAGCGGCATGTTGTTGGTCTCTGTCTAGAGACTCCAACATGGCGCCAATGGCGAACTCGCCTACGGTAGAACTCATTCGTTCTACCGCACTCCATTCGATGTCACTCAAATGGCTAAACCCTTCACGCGTGGTGTAAAAGGTCTATTCATCATCCAACATGTTCATGTTGGATGCTGTGGTCCTTGGAAGGACTATAAAGTGCTACCAGGTGTAACGGGGCACACCCTTGCGTGAACTTAACGCAAGGGTTTTGGTGCGCCCGACAAGCGTACACGAGGCAAACGAGAAAGCGTAGATAAGGGAAAAGTAGAACTGTTGTATTAATATAATTAAGTCTTTTTGTTACTGTCTCTCTGTTTAACCTGGCTTAATTTTGTTAATATAACTGAGTGTATGGTGACGTCTCGTCACCACACATTGCGCGCGTCCTGCGGCGATTGGTGGGTTGATATCATCAAGATATCAACCAATGAGCAGACCCTTTGGTCGCCTCACCAATATCACCACTATCGGTGATATTGTTCAAAGAATATTCGACTTAATATTCTTTATTGTCACTTTCTTTAAAGTGACAATTCTGTGGTGAAGTCACTAATCGAATTTTGTACGAGGATCGGTGGCTACACATTTGGGACACCACTTACTGGTGGAAAAAGAGGCCGTGGGACTTGGCGATCCAATAAGAAAAACGGGATCGGCGATCCCATCCAACTGTCGTCAGACTGATGGGTATGGAACGATCTGAGACGGGGTGATAAGGGACAAGACGACAGTTAGGATGATTTCCACGGAGCGATCTGGGACAAGGATCTGATATCGGGCGATGTGATGTGACTCCGTGACGAAGGTGTGACCTCCTGCAGACTGGTGACACTCTCTACGGGTCTCCCAAAAGGAGTACTGGTTTAGGTTAATTATGGACCGATCTGGAAGTGGGGATGTTTGTGGGGGTCTGTGGGACCGTTGAAGAATTGTGGATGGTCCTATTGTGCGGATAAACCGTTGAGTATAGTATCGGAGCATGCACAATGAACGGAAAATACATATTGGGCCGGACCGCACTGTGTCGATCCTCAACGATCTCGAATTGGACACCAGATCGGCCATGTTCCCTGCTGGTTATGGATATATCCATGATGGAGCTATTGTATGATGATGTACATGCTTGTTGAAGATCCATGAGTGATGTCTTAAAAGTTTAGACCGAAAGAGCCAGTGGAAGTCGGTTGAATTGACGTCACAAAACGGATTTGGACACATTTGGTATTTAAGTACTATTTTGGACTTTTTGGTATCAAAATTGGGTATTTGGTATTACATTTGGAATTTGGTCCTTTTTGGTGTCTAGGTACGATATCGGGAGTATTGGCGCTATCTTTGGAGTACAGGTCACGAAATTTCGACACGTGTTCAAGGGGGCGGTCAAGCTTAAAGGTGATATCGACTTGGACAGTGATCTACGGCTGGGAATAGGCTTAATGATAGGTTGGACATTAATTTGGTTGGTTAATAAACAGACTTGGACTCTACTTCTTCTGCTCACGACGCACGTTCTCCTCCCCTCTTCTCCGGGCAAGATTGATTTGGCTTCCCCGGTGGGTCAAGGCACGCTTGTTACAAGGACACAGAAGAACGATCTTGGATTGTTGGCTAAGATCGAGAAGAGCGATCTCGGGATATCTGGCCCGGATCGATCAAGTACTCACACTCAACTCAACTGCTAGGGTAGCAGCCACACAACAAAGGAAAAGGAAAAGGATTTTGGACACAAAATCGCGAGACGGCTCAAGTGGTCAGAAGATCTGGACAAGGCGTTCAAGACAAGACCGAGCGAGATCGAAGCGATCTACTCGACATATCGGCGTGTTTTATTTTGGCGAAACCAAGAACCGATCTGTCCATATTGCGCACTCCCGGCAATATCGGCCGATCCCGAGACCAGATCGGACCGATCCCAACGCAAGATCGACGCAAGACTACTATTTGCTGAGTGAAGATTTCCGCACAGCGAAGACCCCGATCACGAAGACTAATCGAGATCGGTGTGATACAAGATCGAGATCGCGACATCTCCAAATAGAGATCGCCGTGACTCAAGATCAGGATCGCAAAACTCGTTGGTGGTATGAAGATTTCCGCACCGGAAGCGAACGCTCAACCTCAAACCCTCAGCGAGATCGACATCTCACAAGGCCATTACGAAGAGCTCAAGCCAGCCCAACCGACGGGTACACAAGGTGAGCACAAGGTTATACAGCAAGGCACGGATCGGAGTACCCCCTCCGTGAGTCGGAAAGTCTGGGCAAGTGGAAGATCGACACTCACTAAAGTAATTTTGTGAGATCGACTTCACCACAATTCCATGTAATGGGCTGCCCCGTTACAGTGTTCATGCACAGGGACTAATAGTTCTGCAATTAATTACTTCACCCAAGCTGGTACAGATGGTTGATGAGTCACACGTCCAGAGATATTCGATGAAGATACCCGTTACAGCGTGCAGTCAAGACCTAAATTCTTCGTTTGGGTTCCTGCTTCTATTAGTTGCTCGTGCTCGCGCACCTTCCGAATACTGTGTAACTTGAGGTATATGAAGCGTATGTTCCTAACGATTCCTTGCGTCTGTGACCCACGGATAATTACACGTAACAATCACCACGCGCTTTGCACAGTCCAATCGTTGCTTCTGTCAATTACTTGTCATCCTATTTTGCTATCATCAGTTTCGCCCTCTTAACTGCTCCATCCAGCATTTTGTGATCATGTCGTGTTCCATTAGCCTTTGTATGCGATTGATCCGTCGATCATAGTCCGGCACGAGAGTAGTGAAGCATACTTGATCGACCATTTTCTAAGTTCCGTGTGATGCGGCGTATTCGAACGTATATTGTTGAAAGTCCTTCAACTACAACAGCCTCGGGTTGTATATGCCTATAATTTATCCCTCGCACAAAACAATAATCGATATCCCTAAATATCCAGATTTACTTACCGATATTATCTACTAACTTGAACCCATCGCTCGAAGTTATTTTACTTCGCAACGCGTTCCAGTCACTTGAACCATCCGTGGAGATACATAGACAGACAGACACGACGAGCGCGACTTTGGCAATGGGAGGTTACGAAGCGTGTGTGACCCCGACGTGTGGCAAGAGCGGCTCGCTCGTGTGCCCCACGTGCAAGAAACTCGGCATTCCGCCCGTCATGAGCTCCTTTTGCTCCCAGCTGTGCTTCAAGAGCTACTGGTCGTCGCACAAAGCGCTGCACCAGATGTTTACGCAAGCGCGGAAAGAGACCCAGAGTGGGCACGCATCCCCGTTCGACGGCTTTGCGTTCACGGGTAAATTACGTCCCGGTAAAGTATCGGCAATGAGTAAAGTACCCGAGCACATTTTGCGTCCAGACTATGCCGAGACGGGCATCCCCGTGTCCGAACAACAGGCGAGCAAGAGCATTCCTATTTACACACCCGAGCAGATTGCTGGTATCCGAGAAGCCTGTCGCATCGGACGAGAGGTGCTGGATATTGCAGGCAGAGCACTGCGTGTCGGCGTGACCGGTGACGACATTGACAAGATTGTGCACAAGGCCTGTCTCGAGCGGAACTGCTACCCGTCACCGCTGAATTACTACCACTTTCCGAAGTCGGTCTGTGTCTCGGTGAACGAAGTCATTTGTCACGGCATTCCCGACTCGCGTGCTTTCGAAGACGGCGATATTGTCAATCTGGATGTGACCGTGTACAAGAATGGCTATCACGGAGATCTCAATGATACGTTCTTGGTGGGCAATGTGGACGAAGACGGTGTGCGACTCGTGAAGACGGCGTTCGAGAGTCTAGCAACAGCGTCGAAGCTTGTGCGTCCAGGCACAATGTTCCGCGAGCTAGGAAAGCACATTGCTGCCGTTGCCAACGCACAGGACTTTTCCGTCGTGAAGACGTATTGTGGTCACGGAATCGGATCGTTGTTTCATTGCTCTCCAAATGTCCCTCACTATGCAAAGAACAAGGCTGTTGGTATCATGAAGCCCGGGATGATCTTTACGATCGAGCCAATGATCAATATGGGCTCATGGCGTGACAAGACATGGCCTGATGACTGGACAGCTGTGACGCAGGACGGTATGCGTTCTGCGCAATTCGAGCATACTTTTCTCGTGACGGAGACGGGCTACGAGATCCTGACTGCGCGTGAAAACGAGCCGGTGATGGAGTGGGACATGGCCAAGGTGCACCGTCCGTAAGTGCATGATATTTGCGACCTGATGCGACTTTTGAATCGCGAGTGGTAATGCCGTAGCTGCCTCGAGCTGCTGTATAGGTGGCTGCGTAAATTGCTTACAGAATGAGCAACCACGTAGGCGACAGTTATACGTGTGCCCTCACGTGCTGGTGTGCACCTGTGTTACCGACAGACAGCCCATTGTGGGTGTATTCAGTAATAACGCATTTGAAACTGCTGTGATGTTTGTACGCGTGCGCTCACTTGATGATGAGATGCTATTTGACACAGCTGAAGGGCTTGCAGCGCGTACTGACTTCGACGGTTATCGCAGCACTGACGTCAAAATACCGTTGGTATGCGCCCACTTGTTGTGTCCAAGTTGTACGTCAGCAGCTTAGCTGGATCCGTTTTAGCAATAAGCTGCCAGCGACACAGTCGAGCGCTCCCTGCACCTAAAGGGCAGTGGTTGAGGTGTCCGAGTATGTACTATAGACAGCAATGCCGATCACTTGACCGATAGGAGTCGTGATAGCGAAGGCAAAGTTCAGCATGACGAGCTTCGTCTTGCTCTCGAGGGGGCTCAGTGCAGAGGCCCCGGTGGCAATGCCCTCGAAAAACTGGTGAAAGCACAGCGCTGCAAGCAACGTCTTGAACTCGGATCTTGTCGTGACACCGGGTCAATGTCCCTGTCCGTGACTTGGTCTTTCGTCAGGCCATGCCACCATAACCTGGAAAGTGCTACTTCATCACAAGTAGGCATAGAATCTTCACGAGGAAATTGCGTCCTGTGCTGCTTACCGCTTATTTGTTTGCTGCTGCTACCGTAGCAGGGATAAACATGTACAACAAGCACAGGCGCAAGCTTTGTGATTTCAGTCTTACTATATTAGACACACACAAGCACATTTCGTTGTTTGTCGCGTGAGCAACAGTTTCGGTCTAAGGTTGGATCATGTAATCATGAAAAAGAAATCGATTGTAGCTATAAAGGAGCAGCTTCAACGTTGAGGTTGCGGTTTCCAGCGCACAACTACAAATTGTTTGGAGGATGTCGTAGTCGTGGTCAGATCAATGACAACGACAAGCCATAGTACCGGCTCCGTAAGGCTGCCATACGTTCCAGTCCTTAAACATGCATGTATCTCAATGCTGTATGGCAAAAGTCTTTCGCAAGTCCATTCATCTAGATTGGTGCCGCTAGAGAATAGCTGGAATACGAGTACATCGACAAGAGGCTTTCACCCCATTCCTGATCGTTGGCATATATTGCGCCACTGATGGTTCTGCAAGAAGAAAGGCGACACCCTGTATTGCCATTCCGAAGCGTGCTGTGTGCCCGATTCTTCGCAATGCCACCAAACACACGCGCAGTGACCCCATTTCTCTCACACTTGCTTTATCGCCGCCAGCAAGCACGTAGCGCACTGCAAGCGACCTCTTCGCACTTTGTCTTCTGCTAGAGTGTGTGGAGGAGTTATCGTGTATATTAGCACCATGCCGCTAAGTAAATATATGTACGGCATGGTCCGTCGCAACAAATGTTGCCTGCTATTTCGCACGGCTGGAAGAGGAATGGCGTAAGGACCAAGCGGCTGTTCACAGACCAAGCCACAGCAACGTGGTCTCTAGAGCTGCGTGAGCAGGTGTATCAAGCGACTTGTGCGCGAGTAAGAGCTTCGTGGCCGCTATCAAGCGTATCGTATTCATGATGAAGGCAATACATATCGCTGACGTCACCCCTTCATCGCTTACTTCTGTTAGATATAGTTTACAGCGATAGCAAAAGGAGGGACAGGCAAGTGCACGAATGGAATACCAAGATGGTACAACTACACCATGTGCCTGTCTGGCGGCGTCCGAGAGTTCGAGTCCTGCAATGCAACACGACGTACACGAAGGATCGACCATTTTTATAACACCATAATTGTTGCGTGTTAATGTACAATGCGCCATTGATACCATTGCATAGGGCATAGGTAGTCGTAGGTACCACCAGTTCAATAATTGCCGCGACATAGCTCATGTATGCAGCAGAATAACAGCCACTGCTAGCCACACAAGAAACGACAGCTGACAAAAGAGGTTAGACGTAATTTCGAAAGCAAACACAACTGCACGATGCAAAAAATACTCACGAAAGGTTTGGATACTCACAACGTGTCTGCATTCAAACGCAGTGATCACTGATGGCGTGAACCCGAATGTAGCCAACGGACTCGCGCAGTTAGGAAAGCTCGAGGAGACGGTCGTTAGCGCATCATTTTCGGGAACTTCATGAGATGGAGACTACGGATCGTGTGGAGACGGAGGCGCCTTTTTCGATGGGCACTGGACTGCACAGCAATCCTCAGCTTTGCTCATTTTAAAACAATCATGAGGAGAAGGGCCATTGCCCCAGAGCTTTACACATAAACCGATGCAATCAAGGTCAGGTACGCCTGGTAGGTCAGGCGTCTCAAGACTGAAGGCAGAACGGGAAGCAGCGGCGGCGATCACCATGATCAGACCGGTCTTGATGTGCATCGTGATCGAAACTTAAGGTCGACTGTCGTGAGTTTGGCTTGGCGGAATGCGGAATGACAGCAATGATGCAGGGCGGAGCAGTCGAGACAAACGTACGAGCACTCGAAAGCCGGTGACAAGATGGGGGATACATACATATATACACACATACATGCGCACGCACACATAATCGACGCAATGAAGAAGATAAGTACGATCGCACGAACATGCGTCGAGCTTCGTGCGAACGAACGACAGACTGGTGGGCTGCGGTCGGCTGAACGTGCGAGCGTACTATCGGGCCAGCATCTCGACATTTGTATGGATCAGACGTGCCACATGTACAGCGGAGATCGAGTGACAGGATGGGCGCATGCACATGAAGTGTGCGAGCTACAGGATCCAGCGGATCGTACGCGTGCCTAAACATACCTCTCCCTTCTCACTCACTTACTGACGAAGTGTACAAGCAGGCGTTCTATGCACCCCCGCATGAGCACCGATCTGCGTCACACACAGAGGTCATGGCTCGGTGTGCTACAGTGAGTTGACTCTGCGAGCTTGGATTCGAGCCAGCTTGCGTTCACGTCGTCTCAACGACGTTTCGTCACTTCGCATTTCGTCTAGTCGTTTTTTACCACATGGTTCGCTACAAGTACTCAGCACAAGAACACGTATGCTCCACTTACTGCTTCGACTGGATAGGTCTGCACCAAGCTGAAATCGTCCCATGCAACTAGACTTGGCAGTCATGATGCTATTGGACATGATTGTAACCGTGCACACAGACTTCGTCGTAGCAGAAAAAATACATCTAGAGGTTGGAAGTACCGCGCCAAGTGCCTACCGGCGCCAGTGCTCCGAGTTTAGGAGAGCTCGGACCACATTGTCACATATGGATGTGACTAAGCGGGGAACACCGCACCGTTCGAAATAGCGCCACAACGTGTCCACTGTGGTGTTGTCGGATCACCACAAGAGATAGTGAGTGGGCAAATGCCAATAGTTAAGACCAGGTGCAGACCTTTCGTCTCTACGCTACGAGCCTCAACCCTTCCTGCGACAGCATGCTATATTGTTCTACCTCACATAGGGGCGAGCACTACCTTTCTCTAGACGGCCGCAGCGGGCAGGTGAACGATGTAGCCTCAAATTGCCTGGCGATGTGTTACACAAGCAACAACCCCTCAACACGTTGACCTTCCGCCTCTATCCTCGATGCTACAGTTGCGAGTTGCTACACCTGTTTTGTAACGGGGTAGCCCGTAACATGATATTGTCATTAAGGCTAAAATGGCAATAAAGAATATTACGTTGACTATTCTTTCAACAATATCACAAACATGGTGATATTGTTGGGATGACCGAAGATTCTACTCATAGGTTGATATCGGGATGATATCAACCACCAATCGCTGCTAGACGCGCGGAATGGGTGGTGAGTAGACGTCATCATACGTTTCGTTAGATTAATATAATTAAGTCAGGATAAACAGAGACATAAGATTGATAGGACTAAACTGTATTAAATAACGGTTTTGCTTTTACCAGAACAGAGTGTTCGCTTAGTCTCCTTTCCTTCCTCTGTGTTGGTGCAACACTTAGCAGGGCACTGACCATCGCTGTTGTCAGTGGAAGTGAGCTCCGTCATGGTCAACCAGTACGTTGTCACCAGTGCCCGTTACATGTTTAGCCCTGTATAATCTCGGGAGATAAGCGAATGGTGCAGCGTAAGACGCAAGCAGACCACCATGTGAAGGAAGCATTGCCTGCCATTGCTTATAGCAATGACATGAGTGCGCTTGATATCGCAAATCGTCAAGCATGCGCGACCTGTCCCCCTCGAACAGCTCAACACGAAGGAAGCTGATGAACATGCCTTCTGTACCGCCATCGGAAGCTCCACCTTGTCGCTCGTCGCAGAGTTCTTCTCATCATTATGTGCGCCCAGTGTAACCTGGTGGTAACAGTGGTGCACACGTGGCACATTCGTCCTCGGTGCGCCGGTGACCTCAATATCAATCTTGTGTCGTGCGTCAAAAACAAGCGTGCAATCACATGTGAAACACCGCGCCTTCATGTGCAACGTCATTTTGCGTGGCCTTGAGTAGGAGACAAAGCTTCTAATGTCGCTGCCGTCTAGATGCTCCGCACTCGTCAGACCTGTCCGACTTTATCTCCGATATTGCACCGTGTTTGTTGCAGCCAAGATCGTCAGCTACATTCTCTCTGCCGTTCTGTTTTCCGGTACAGAAATGAACAGCAATCTCTAGCAACGCTTGTGAGAGAGCGTTCGATCTCTCAATAAAAGCTTTCCACGTCCTCTGGCTCATTGAAAGATTTTCCTTCGTCGAAGACCATGGTCTTGTCGATGCCTGCAGCGTAAATAGCAAATCGTCATTTTGCCGCTGCATATTTACGAGACGTCTTATATGATTCGATAAGTCAGCGCACGTTGTAAAGGGGAACGCTCTTGACAGATGACTGACAAGACCTTGTGTTGACTGAACACAAGTC